TGAGCACACACACAGAAGCTCAATCACTAGCAGATGCACACACACAGAAGCTCACTTACTAGCAGATGAGCGCACACACAAAGACATCCACACACACAGAGACAGGTATACAGCCACACACAGAAAACCACACACACACATGCAGACTGTCACACACACAGGCAGACAGCCACATACTCACACACACACACAAGCAGTCACACACACACACACACACACACAAGCAGTCACACACACATGCAGTCATACACTCACACACACACAGGCAGACAGTCTCACACAGGCAGAAAGTCACACACACAGGCAGACAGTGACACACACACACACAGATAGTCACACACACACACACAAACACACGGGCAGACAGCCACACACACACAGGCATACAGTCACACACACACACACCACACACACACACACACACAGAGAGACAGTCACACACACACACACACACAGGCAGACAGCCACACACACACTGGCAGACAGTCACACACAGTCACATACACACACACACACACACACACACACAGACAGACAGTCACACACACAGGCAGACAGCCACACACACACACACAGGTCCACACACACAGCCCCCACACACACAGTCACACACACACACACACACACAAACACACACACAGGCAGACAGTCACACACACAGTCCCACACACACACACACACACACACTGACCTGCTTCTTACCTCGAGATCCCTTGGAGCTCCTGGAGATCGGTTGTTGGGGAAGCAGGGACTCCTTCCTGCTTCCCATGCTGCAGTTGTCCGGCTCATTTAGCCCGGCCGCACACTAAGCCCTGCCCCCGTTGTGCACTAAGCTCCGCCCCCGCCACAATAGTGTTTGTTTTTTTTATGATCTCGGCCGGCCATGTGTGAGCTGTGCTGGCCGTCTGGCTCCTCCTTCTCCCATGGGACCCTGTGTGGCCGCACAGCTCACATATGGCCGGCCGGGATTACAGGAGCCTGAGCAATGATTAGGGCTGTCAGTCCATCCCCAGGTGCCGCGGCCCACCGGGAAATTTCCCGGTATTCCGGTGGGCCAGTCCGGCCCTGCTGCTCACTGTTTAATAGACACGCCCCTACCTGCGGTATAGCGAGTAGGGGAATAATTTACTAATACTAAGTGACCAGCTTCTATAGAGGCTGGGTCACTTGCTGCACTGGCCAATCACAGCCATGCCATTAGTAGGTATGGCTGTGATGGCTTCTAAGGGCACACGAGTCAAACGCTTGTTGATTGGCTGCCCTGCGGCCTTTCAAAACGCGCCATTAAATCGCAGAACTCCAAACTCCAACTCGAACATACAGTGATATGTCCGCGTTCGAGTCCGGGGTCCAAAAAACGAAAAGTTTGGGTTCGCTCAACTCTACTAGGCAGTGCAAAAAAATAAACATTAGCAAATTATGGCTTATTCTGCATTTAATACTATTATTTTACATTTAGCAATCATGGTTTTGTGAAATATCAAGTCATTAATACATTCCTAATTGCTCAAAAAAAGTCCATTATTTATATGTTGTCTCATTTTAATTAATAATTTATAATAATAAATGCTATTCCTGTAACTGACATTTTCTGTGTCTTTTTATTAATTATTTTTTATGGTAGTGCAATTATATTCGCTGTTTTCATTTTTGTCACTTAAAAAATTAAATAAGATTCTACGGTCTTTTACGCTGTTTCCATTTCCAGTTTAACTGCTTAGTACACATATTTTTATTTAATATTGGAATAGATCATTTATTTCTGGGTTTGTATTTTCTTCAGATAGAGACATTGTTAGTTTTAAATGTTTGACACTTTATTATCACTGGAAATACTCTGCTCACCAATACATATTTTGCCACCGACCTGTGATGTGCTCTTTTGTAAGAAGTTTTTGAGAGTTTTAACCCACTAATCTTCCATAGATCCAGGGTCAGCGCATCCTATAGGTGACGTAGACTCTCCCCCTTTTCAGAAAAAAAAGACACTGTGTGCAGAACTGGCTTTGGCCCATCGGAAGATCATATGAGTGGGGCATTGTGATGCCACATGGAGGGCAGAACATATAGGGGGACGGCAATTTTTGCACGGGCCCGGCATAGGTCCATAGTTAACGTTCCCTGCGTTAGCCTGTAGGACTTTAATTGTCGTCTTTGCAATCGGCACTGAAAAGAAGAGGCTGTAGATAAAGACACAGATTTGGAAGTTAGTTAAATTACAATTTTAAATCAGGTCATCTTTTCTCTTGTCCTGAATGGGACATTATTTTTCAGCTAAGGACGTTCAAGATTAAATATTTACATTTCAGAATGCAGGATGATAAGGTACACAGAAAATTTATATTCAGTTCCAGTTTATGTCTTCAGGAAGACTGTCTGAAAAGAAAAGAAATGTTCAGAACTCCAAGCATTCTTCTAATGAACACTAATGTCTCTACATTGTAAAAAAAAGTCAACATTCACTTGATGTTCTGCAAGGTCAAACACCAACCATTCACTAACATCTCTCCAAGATCAGAATGTGAAACGTTTAATAACTTATCTCCAAAATCAGAACACCAACCATTCACTTACTTCTCCACATTTGCTAGCTTCTCTCCAAGGTTAAAACATCAAACATTCAGTAACTTCTTTACATCCTTAGAACACCTGAAATTTACTAACTTCTCTCCAAGGTCGAAACATTAAACATTCAGTAACTTCTTGAAACACCAAACAGTTTTTATCTTCCCTCAATGGTCAGAATGCAGAACATGATGCAGTTGACATAGAGCATAGGCTGCATGCTGAGAGTTGATTGACAGGTGTTGAGTAGGAGAACCCTCTTCACATGGTTCTCCGGTTCTCCTCAACTGCAACTACAGAGCATGCACTGAAGTTGTGATGAGTATCTCTCGCTCATGAGACAATTTATTTGCTTTCCTAGCGGGTTGGTGGGTGGGGGGAACAGGGAAGCCATCGCAGCACTAAAAAGATGGTAAATATTCATATCCCCTTCTGCAATGCAGTATATCACTTGTCTTCATTTATCCACTTCAAGTCTCTTCTAATGAGTCGCAGGAGTATCTGGGGCCAAGGCTGCAGAAGTCAGTTTAACTCCATGCAGAATAGGGCACATAGCTTTTTAGCTAAATGCTATTTCCCCAACCTCTATGCATGCCTAACAATTTTTCCCTGGTAGATGACTGACAAGGAGGGACTGGGTGACTGTTTTAGGGACCCTGGCACAGGAGGCATTTAGATAATGCAGTGTAAGAAGAAGGATGCCACTGTCACAAATATATTTTTTACATTCATAACTTACAGGCTGATCCTCACCTAACCATACGTACTCTCAACCAGCCTGTAAGTAACCCATAACTTAGTGTCCTGCATGCATGGAAATAATTCGAACCTTTGTGACTGGGCCTCGACGTTACGTGGTTTATTTGCTGCAACAGTAAATTATGGTGAATTAAAACAGACTCAGCTAAAAGTAAGTCAAAGTCCTTTTGTTGAATAAATCCTCCAGCCCACCTTTCTCCCTCAATATGTGTGCTTTAGAGTAAATTGTGGGAGTTCAGGTTTTGATAAATCTGTGTTATTGGTATTTTCTAGATCTGCAGTTATCCACAAATACTCTGGCCAGTTCCAGCACATCAGTGACTATTATACTAGTGACTGGTATACTTTATGTAACTCAGGCAGTTCAAACATTCCAAGACCGATTTAAAACAGGGAAAAAATGCATTTAAATATAAAATTCCATAGAATTTCATGTGGCAATTATAGCTGATATTAAAAAAATAAAAAAAGTACAATTTATAAGAGTTTCTATACTAATCCGAGTTGTGAAAAGTGAATTGAAAAATGTAGACCTCACTATGTTGACATGCTAGATGTTAATTAATTATAATTTTTAAGGTATTTCAGTTGTGTCTGTCTGTCACCTGCCCTTAAGGTAAAAATAAAGTCTTCAGAAGATGCCCTTCGGTTTGATACATGTTAAACGAGCACTTTCTGTTAAATATACTCCTTTCATTCCTGGCATTGCGTGAGAAGGGTCGGTTGCTTTGCAGATTTGGATGTCAGTGCGTGCATTACATGCTTTTTGGTGACCAGCAAGCCCTCCTGCTGTGGGAGGTCTTTAAACATTCATTAAAACCCATCCGCTCGCGATCACTCTCAGCTCCACAGTCTCTAATTGCTCGAAGATAGGGCCTTTTAAATGTTAACACACAAGATCCTTTCAAACAACCTTCTGTCTCTCTGACTCGCAGTCCGTCCACAGACACGCAATGATAATTAGCGATTAGGGGTTCAAAGCCACCTTATTCATGTTAAAACAGCACAGGAACTCATAGAGAGATAGGCAAGAAGATAAACAGACAGACAAATGGTTCTAATGGATGGATGGATAAATGGATGGATGGGATGTTGGGTGGATATGTAGAAAGATAGATAGATAGATAGATAGATTGACAGACGGACGGATGGACAGTCAGACAGTTGTTAGATAGATAGATAGATAGATAGATAGAAAAACTTCAACAATGAGACAGGAAGATGGAGAGAGAAACAGACAGATGGTTCGGATGGATGGATGGATGTTGGGTGGAAAGATAGATAAATAGATACATAGACAGATGGATGTACAGACAGACAATTGATAGATGATAGATCGATAGATTATAGATAGATGGATAGACAGATGGACGGATGGCCAGACAGACAGATGATAGATAGATAGATAGATAGATAGATAGATAGATA